GTGAATTTTGTTGCTTGGGTAGTATTCTCACTGGGCGATTAGCTCACTCTATTCCTTTTGTTTTCCTTACAGGAAAATAACTACTTTTGGACTGCAATTGATAATTGGTTGCCGAAATGAGCTAGTTGGACATATCTTTTGTATAGCTTATTTATTGAAACCCTAAATGTACTTTTGGGTCTGTTTCTCTTTTGATTTGGCAAACCATACATGTATCCACTTTTGAATACTTTTGTATGCAACTTTGGATTGTAAATACTAAAGTTCAAGATGTGAACGTTTGCTTGGTATTTGGTTGGGTTCTGACGGGTCGGTTACTATTCATGGCCGATTCCGGATTTCATTTTTTTTTATTTTGGGTTATTTTGCTATTTTGACTTGTTTACGCGTGTTTGTAAGTTCCGGATCGCAATAGATCGCTCTAAACTGCACCGTTAGTCCTGGCGAGAGTTGGGCAGGCAGTCTGTTAACCCCTTTGCTTCGCCTTAGGGGAAGGTGTGGCTGTCACAGGGCAGGGGAGTATACCCCCGCCCCGCCACCCGTAAAAATAAAGTATATATATATATAATTATATATAATATATAATTTAATTAGTTATAAACTTATGATAATGATATTATTAGTTAGATGTATTATATAATGTATATTAGTATATGTAATATAATTGATATTATCAATTGTACTAATAATTATGTCTACTAATAGAATTTATTAATTAGTTATACTAAATTTACTAATACATTTATACTAAATTCCTAATTACACTTAATAGAATAACATTTTTTTCTAAAAAAAAAAGCACAAACATAATAATGAATCAGTGATTGTATTTGTACGAAAAGTGAAAACTTGACTATTTTAGTTGTATTTATTTCATCATGTTGGATTGTATTTAAATAACTTTTGTTTGATTGTTTTTATGAGTTTCAATTGTAAAATTACAATGAATAATAACTTGGTGATGTGTTGATATTTTAATACTTGATTATTTATTAAAATTTAACTATAATAAAATTATATAATAAAATTTTATTAAACCGGCGGGGGCAATTTTATTAACCCCGCGGGTGCCCCCGCGGGGCGGGGGTCGGGGGGAATTAATAGGCCCCCGTCCTCCGCCCCAACCCCGCCCCGTTGCCATCCCTAATTATATGGGTCAAATGGGTCAATCTCTATTTGACCTGATTTGGACCTTTTTGTTTGGCTAGTTATTCAGGTTTGACTTGATTTTTATCGGATCTCATGAAAAGTAAACCTATATCCGCTAATTTTGTATTAAGTTCGAGCCGTATTTTTGGATTATGTCTAGAATTGTCACTCCTACTGGGGACAAGGGAGTGGGAAGGGTTGGGGTGAGAGAGAGAGGGGAGAGGAGATGACTGAGGAAGGGGGAAGGAGGGGGAGAGGGAAGAGAAGAGGAAAGGGAAGGAGGAGGGAGGGGTGGAAGGAAGGGAAAGAGGAAGGAGGAGAGGGAGGGAAGGAGAAGAAAAAAAGGCACTAGTATTGGCATTGCAGAGGTGTTGACTGGCGATGGTGGAGTGAGGCGGGGAGGAGGAAGAGGAAGAAGAAAGGAAAGAAAGAAAAAAAACTCGTATATTTTTTTTTATTATTTTGGAGTGCGTATTTTAAAATTTAGAAGTGTTTTTAAAGTTGTAGAAAAATTTTGCCAAAAACAAACATGCTAAAAAATTACTTCTAAATGTGGCCAGGCTTTTAGTGGTTGGAAATAGAGGGAGGAAGTTGTCATGTGCTTTTTTATGTAAAGAGAAACAAATTTGATGTCCACTAGAAATAGGTTACAGTGCACAATTTTTGGTCAAAAAATTAAGCAAAAATGAGCTCTAGGACCGAATGGGTAAAATTTTTATATCTAAGAGACTATTTTGACTAATTTTAAATATGAGGGACAAAAAAAATTTTTCTCGGAAACTTGAAGAACCAAATTGACAATTTTTCCTATTCCTAGTTTTGCACATTTTTCCTATACTAGCTTGTTTCTTTTTGACTCTGACATTTCCTGAACTGCCAAAAACAAGCAACTAGAGAGGATTCAACCAAATGTTCTTCGAAAAAGTCAAATCAAACCCACTTTCATACGAAATTCCACTGCAACCTTTGTTCTTTCAAAGCAAATTTCCTGCGCTGCACTATAAACAACCGTGGCAATATATTTGTCTCCACTAAAACGCTCTTTATACGTCATATTGACATTTTCATTGGTCTTGCTAGTTAGCCAAGTAAACTCTTACCTTTTTTTGGGAATACCATGCCAGTTTAGCTCTTATATTGAAAGTGGAGATAGCCTGTGATTCCTGGTTTTGTTCATAAATCATATAGGATGTTTCTTTGATGTTCGTCTGTATATACGTAGGAAAACTTTTGACTAATCATTCTGGTAGATTTCCAGCTTTTTCCACGATATAGCGTTGAAGTGTTGAAAGTTCATAGAAAAAATCCTTCACCATTCAATCTCAAGTTCCAACAGAGTGAGATGAATTAAACAATCAAACTACGGTAGCTCTGGCAAAGTAAGTACCAATCAAGGGTTTCTTTTTTCTTTTTTGGTCAAGTTTTTTCTAGCTACCATCTTCTAATGCATTTATCCCTGGCATTCTTTATTGATTGAAGAAGAAGCTGCACGTGATGTATGGATATTTCAACAAACAATAATGCATGGATCTCCACAGGTGTTAGATGAAAATTTTATGATACAGAGATGGAAAGAAAATGTAGGGAAAGAGTGAAACCGTATCTGTTAGCAACACAAAGTTCTTGTACTCCAGTGTAACAAGAATTTGAGTGGAAGTGGACTGACAAGCTACCATAAGAAACAGTATATGGCACCTCCTGCAGAGCTTCTCTGTCCATATATAAGTTCAGGCTGCAGCCCGATTTCAGTCTTTATGAAGGTCTCAACTTTCATTCCCTTTGCTTAACCTCAGCTTTCTGCAAAATGGGATGGTCTTGAATTTCCCTCTCCATCATGAACTTCTCAATTCTCATAGATGAACTTTGCGATCTTAATCATCACAGCTTGATTCCATATTAAACTTATATGGTTTTAGGCCAAAAACTCCTGAAGCATCCACTCAGAAGAGCTGGAAAGGTAGATGATCTTGGAGGAAGGATCATGTCATGGCAATGTCTATCGACAAATCTTCAATATCATGTCCAGGAAATATACTACATTGTCTCCCACTCTATTGACATCAAAAGCAAAAAGTCACAGGACGGATGATTTCTTCAAGTGTATGTAAACTGAACAATCCTCGGAGCATAAACCTGCAACTAGGTCAGTTCTTTTAAATTCACCGTCATATTTGAATTTAGTTACTTGAAAATTGGAGTAACTTTTTTCAATCCAAAGCAACCCTGAATTATCTTATCTTGAAGATTTGGGTTCACATCCAAAGGTGATGAAAAATCCGTTAACATTAGGCAAATGGACAGATTTCTTGACTTTGAAGTGCAAAACTATCAAGGCAAATAGACAGAACAACACTAATTAAACCATGAATGTTCACCTATAAGCATATGGATCAGTGAATTAACATGTAGCGATTTGCTGAATGTTAGACAATCAACATTTGCCTTGCATATGACCTGAAAGCGCAGCATTTTTTTCCTTAAGTTTTGCTCGAAAAATAAAACAGAAAAATCTTCATCTGAGAGCAATGCTACAATCGACTGTTACATTTCAGTTATACCTGGATAAGTACCCAAGAGAAAACAGAATCCATAAAATCCAAGCTTAAAAGTGTGTTTGCTGAAATAGTCTTCAAGTAAAAGAGATGCTTGAATTCCTTCCTTGCTCTCAGCTTCTTTGCTGAATTGAAAGATTAATGGACCAATTATCTGGTGTAGTTTTCTTTGCATGGTCCAGTATTCTTCAACTCCTCCATCACCCTAAAACAACATGTAGACTAGCTAAGAGTCAGTAAAACTGAGAAAGACTGCTATAGTTCTACAATCAAATTATTATGCTTCAAACACGGTAATATATCAATTCCAAGTTTTGCATATCAAGATAACTGTTAGCAATATTATTGGTAAGAACAACAATCAGTTGTATATTATTTCCTCTATAATCTCTTCGAGGCATTGTGGTATGAAGCCATTCTCTGATGATAATTGTGCTAGATTGAGGTTTAGTCATTAAAGATAATAAAAGCTTCAAACTATCAATCTTGTAACTCTTTGAAGACCCTTATTGCCAATTCAATAATTCTCAGTAAAGTTCATCAAGAGTAATTTTAGTTCTGGAACTTGAGATCTATTAGACAAGGAAAGAAGTTCTATGACAAGCAGCATTGGGATGGGGAAATTCGTCTATCACTGTATATGGAAGTTCCAGGTGGAATGACAAAGGAAGAGCAAGAAAAGAATACCAAGCACCTTGGAGAGGCCAGGAGCAAAACTTGATCAATCAAGTTACATTCCTTATCTCACTTAATTTCCTGCATGACTAGAGCAAAGCAAGTTTGCAGTTAAAGCAACTGAGGAGAAATTAGAAATTTAACAGTTTCAAGAGAATTATTACCTCATGGGGATGCAACAAAAGCTAAAGCTAACTCAAACTGGGAAAGTGTTAAAACACCATAAGGGATCTTGGGCTCTGGTTTCTTGAGCTCAACGGAAGCAAATGAGAGCCTTATCCTAGAATTGTTCCATTCAACTGCAAAACAGGGTACTCAAACTCAGTAAAGCATGTTGCCAATTAAGTGACTTTCTATTCTGTCAATCTTACAACAAGCTTAACCTACAAGAGTAAGCAAGTAATAAAACTTGATAGCATACATTCTCTTGTCTTGATATACAAACTATACTATTTGTGATTCCACATGACATTGGGGCTAGAATGCAAAAAATAAGCATTTTCAAGGGGTAAAAGTTGCCATTAAAGCATTGTCAAGTTGGTAATTTCTGTTTAGGTAATCAAGAAGAAATTTTAATCAGCAAAGTGATGTTTTGTAAAACCTGACGAAGTGCAGTTGGGAATATTAGAGAAAATTTGGAAGTTCATGAAATTGATAATACCAGAAATTGTTGCTAAGATCAGGTATGTGAGAAATCCCTGACCACTGGAAGTTGAAGACGCTCTGAGCAGAGCATCCTTCCTCTAACAAAGGCCAGCCATTAATTGACAGTGATCTTAGCTTGGTGAGGCGCCTCATGACAGCCATGGATGGAATATATCGAAGCTTTTCACAACCTGACACAATTAATTGTTCAAGTGACTCAAGATTCCCAAACCAATCTGGCAAAGCTTCTATTCCAAAGTCATGTAGACTAAGTTCTGTAAGGCCAGTGAGATCTTGGAGCTGCTCTGGCAAGTAATCCAGGTGAGGCCCTCCAAACAATGCTAGTTCACGAAGAGATGATGAAGCTAGTTCTAACCAGTCAAATTCAACTGAATCTGAGAGCGGACCAATAGACAATTCCCTTAAGCTGGCAAGGAAACCAAAGCCTCTGGGCATAGTTAACAAATTGGGACACTTGTGTAGCAATAATACGGAGAGAGAAGGCATTTGTTCCAAATAAACAGGAAAGCTGGAAACCTGGGGCAATCATACACAGTCAACACCCTGAGTGATTTGCATGACTCCAGCATTTCACCTGGTAGATCTTTTAACCTGTCACAGTGACAAATTCTCACATTTTGGAGAGAAGTGAGCCTTTGCTGTACATTGGGAAACATCATCAAACGTTGGAAAGAAGTGAGCTGTACTAGTTCACTAGGAAATGGAAATGCCTCGAGACTCGGACATCCATCTATTGACAAGGTTTGCAGAAACTGAAACTCATACAAGTCTTCTGGCAACTCCCTTAGATTTTCACAATCTTTGATATCCAACTCTCTAAGAGAAGTGCCACAGCCCCGCACACACTTTAAATTAGGACAAGTTTGCAATCTTAGAGATTGTAAATTTTTATTGTTATGCACTAGAAGATTTGAAACACAAGTGAGGTCATCCATACCTGTGATCGAGAGGGTCAACAGACCGGTTACTTTACTAAGAATATTTTGTACAGGCAAAAACTGGTAACTATTTTTGACTATCAGTTTCTCAAGACTTGGGAAATGACTTGGAGCTGTCGTCAATTGGGTGCAATTGCTAATAGTCAAAGTCTCAAGGATGGGAAAGACCTCAAATTGTTCAAATCCTACTGGCTTTGCTGTTGGTTCCATCCACTCAATCAGGTTCCTCATATTGCCTAGATAAAGATTTTTCAGGACGGGAAACAGATTCCTTGGGCCTTGACTGGCAGTGCTGTAGCTTCCTAATGTGCTGTGATCACTAATGCCATAGAATGAAAGCCCAATGCTTCTCACAGTTTGCAGTGCAAGCAATTTGAGGTCTTGAAGAAGGGGCAGTTGGCCAAGAGCAGGAATTTCTGTACATCTTCTGCAATCCGTCAAGCACAATCTTGTTAATTTGAAGCTTGCTGATAAATTCATGAACCATGATGGAAAATGATCGCCAATGTAATTTTCAATTACTAACACCTGCAGATTTGGGTGGGGTTGGAGGCCTTCAAGCACATTTTCATCATCACTGTCACTGTCTCGAGTTTTACCCCACTTAAAATGCAACTCATGCAGATTTACCTTTCCAAATAGGTTTGCCTGTTGAGCTCCTTCTTTACCGTTTACTAGTTCAAGATTGCGTATTTCCAGTCCACCTCTAAGGTTTTCCAAGCATCCTAGCTCTTCAATGTGACGACCCTTCTCTTCACCAACATTAAAGAACTTCAGAGTTTGAAGACAAGTTAAAAGTCCCATGTGCTTTGGCATAAGAAATTTGGCATCATTATAATAGCAGAGATGTCTTAAGTTGATCAAACTGCTCATCCCTTCTGGAAGATCTTTTAGAGCTGGGCATGAATACATCCTTAGTGTCTGCAGATTATAAAGCCTTAAAATACATTCTGGCAGAGTTTTTATTCTAGAATATGAAAGGTCAAGATACCTCAAATGTATTAGTTTGCCAGTGGAGGTTGGCACCAATTCAATCCTTGCTCGAGACAGATTTAAAACATGCAAATACTTGAACTTTGATAGCATATCACTAGATATACTACTCCCCAAAAACAATGTACGAAGTGATCTTGACATGTCTTTTGAGATTTTACTTGTTTTTCCTTCTATGGAGTCTAATACTAGGTGGCGAACTTCAGAACTGTTGTCTGCTATACCATTCTCCAAATCAATGCATTTAGACCTCCAAAATGATTCTGCTAGATCATGCACATGATCATGCATTCTGCCACATATAATTTCCTCCTTTCTTACTTCTTGTATCAAGGAACTCAGCAACAAAATTGAAAAATACTTGTGTCCTATTTCCTCCATTACTGTTTGATTGTTGAGATTTGACTCAAGAAAACCTTCTGCCATCCAAAGCTGGATTATCTGCTCCCTCTCTATGTCACAATCCTTACCAAATATAGAACAATATACAAAACATTTTTTAATGGCTAGCGATGGCAAATTATCAAAGCTCAACTTAAGTATTTGCAAGACACTATTTTCATCTCCAGTCAAACTCATGATTCCTTTCTCCACAGCTGAGAGCCACTCCTCTTTTCTCTTGATACGTAACAAACCACCAATGACACTAGCAGCTAGTGGTAGGCCACCACACTTGTTTGTGAGTTTCTTTCTTATCACTCGCAATTCTTCTGGTTTTTCTCCACTTGGAACTGCCGTTTTTTGTAGTATGGACCAACAATCTTCATCAGATAGCTTGTCTAATGAATAAGGAGGATGTGTAGCCACATTGGATGCTACTTGGAACTGCCGGGTAGTCACAATGCACCAATTTCCATTGGTTGTGCTGATTCCGACCAATGACTGGAAAAATTCATCCCACAAGGTGGATACTTCGTTCCACACATCATCAAGTACAATAAGATATCTTTTGTCTGGAATTCTTTTCGAATTTCTTGGACAATAACATCCCTATTGGCTACTTCAACTTTTCTACTTGTCAATGATTCCAAGATTAGCTTAAATAGCCGTGTAACTTCAAAATTTTCAGACACACATATCCAGATCTTTTTATCAAAGTGTTTGTCAACTTGTTGATCATTAAACACTAACTGTGCCAAAGTTGTTTTTCCTAATCCACCCATGCCCGTAATGGGAATAACAGAAACAACTTTTGCAGAAGAGCCTAACAATATCTCCACTATATTTGATGCATCATTGGCTCTTCCTACAATATTTTGACCTACAATGGAGTCTTTCTCTCTAGTTATTAGGCCTCCAGAAATAGCAGAAATTTCAGATGCAGTTGCATCATTTCCCATCTGGGACACAAGTCCAAAGCTAATTGCTTCTTCATTAATCATTTTCAACTTCAGGTTAATGTCCTTGATCTTCCTGGCCATCCTCCAACGAAAACTAACAGGCTTAGAGAGGAAGAAGAAGCGTACCTTTCCCATGAACTGATCTCTAATTTCCACCCGTCGACATAGATTATGATAGTTGAGCTCATCCAACACATTATCAGCATCAAAAGAAACTCGTTCAAGCCTCTTCAGCCATAGTTGCACTGCCCGTTGCATCGGTTTCTTCTCCTCAGCATCGGCCAAGAAAGCAAGGATCATGGCTGCTGAATCTTTAAATCTCTCCAGATCATTCTTGAATCCAATCACCATCCCAACTTGGTCAGTCGCAAGGGCAATTGCCTTCTCTAAAGTACGCGTTATCGTGGCACCAACGAGTGCATCAGCCATCCTGGTTCCCTGTCTATTTCTTTTAGGCGATTGTTTTGGGCTTAGGTTCTGGGGTAAATATTTTCAGATACATTCCTTGTAGATGGTTACATAACTTTCATGTTTTTTTTTACGTGTTTGACTAGTATATTTCTGCTTCGCCATACTGGTCTTTCTTCTGAATTTAAAACAATTCATGATTGGGATATAAAAACTAACAGAAATAATTTTTTGAAGAAGCAAATATACGTGGAGCAGTTAGTCAACTATTGAACCACACCTATGTTTTACACGTATCTATGTCGATGTAATCTTTATCTGACAATTGGTGGGTTTAATACGACATCATTGAGACAATGCCACATGAACTAGGTAAGTATACATGTTTGAATGTGTTATTCTAGGACTGTAAGTGTCCATGATACATAGAAAAGAATACATTTTCTGGTACAGAATAGTTCAAATTCTGTCATATTGTTACAACGTTTTCTGTTTTGTTACTGCAGAGTCCTTTGATCTGTTTTTGCCTGTTCAACTACGCTTTTATGCTACTTGAAGAGTTAATCCACATCTTGCCTGGTAAAAGACGGTACAACAAACACTCAATTCAAAGACTTGTTACATACGACTTTTTTCACACTTAATTCTTTGTTTATGTAATCTTAGAAAACAAAGCTTTCTTTATTGATTGAGAGGAAGAAGATTGTTTAATTATGAGTATATCTAATGAGTGTCCAATGGGCGTTCGTTAGAATGAAGTTAATTATGGATATTTTATTTGCAAAATTTCTCAGTTTGGGAGGCTTTTTGGACTCTTAGAAATAACAATACGGTTGTTCATTTTTTAGCTAAGTATGCATTATCAATTCCTGATTCTTGTATGTGGAATCAATCTCCACCTTGCTTCGTTGTTGTTTCTGCTCTTGAAACAAATTTAGTATGCTATTAATAAAATTTGTCTCTCTTTGTATCAAAAGAAAAAAAGTGTAGTTAATTAAGGAAAAGTGTATAAATAAAAGAGGAGAAGGACATTAATTGCTTGTGTGTATTCACATGATAAATTGATTGTGATTAAAGTGTGTTAACGAGTATCCATTGGATATCGGTTAAAAAAACCCTTTAATTATATGAACTTTTTATCTTGAATTCATCAAAATTTATGAAATTACTTAATCATACTTTTATATCTACCAAATGTTATCATGATACTAGTAGTTGCTAGGGGGTGGTGGGAGTAGGCTCCTCTCCATTACGTCTTCTCTCCAATTTCCCCCAGTGCATCTTTAGATGATAGACACATGTATAAAGTAGTATCAATCAATAGTTGAGATTGTCTTTTCTTAACCACGTGTGTTTAATTTTAGGGTTTGTTTGATAATATAAAGAAAGTGCTGAAACTAAATTTTTTTAAATATTCAGATGTTATGAATATTTGATAAATAAAAATTTATTTGCTAAACTTGTTAAATAGTGCTGAACTTGTGTGTATTTTTTTAAAATTCAGATTTAATTTTATCAAATAGAATCTAAACGTGGAATATTCATAAACATATAACAAATTATCCATGTCCATCTATGGATGTTAGCAAAAAATAATTATGTAAGTTTTACGCTGCTGGGAACAGGATGTAGGAAAAGAGTGAAACCATATCTGTTTGCTGCACGTCTCTTCTCACACTTTGCATCTTCAAAGATGATTTCCATTCAAAAGCCTATGGAGCTGATAAATCAAAGTATTCAACATGAATACTTAAACTACGATGAATAGAAAAGGATCGACAGAACAATTATTCCCACAAAAAAATCCAAAGGGAATTAATTTGGGGCAGGTACAACGGAGAGTTGGTACAGTCGTGTACAATTATTGCCTCTGTTGTAGTTTTTTTTTTTGGTAGTATTTGGGACACAAATATATTGTTTTGGAACAAAACTTGATTTATATGAATAAAAATGTTCTATGTACTTGAAATATGCAACAACACAACGTGATTACAATATAGTTTGATTCTACACCATGCCCTGTAACAAATACACCACCACAGATAGATCACTTCTGCTATGAAGCTATAGCTTTCATTTTCTGTAACAAGGGGTTGCATGCTCATCATTCTTCAGTTGAAACGGACTAACAAGCTGATATCAAGAACAACATACTGCAGCTTCCCAGTCCATAGCCTCAGGCTGCAGACTTCATTCAGCCTTTCTGAAGATCTCAACTTTCACTTTAGATTAAGCTGCCAAAACTCAACTTTCTTCAAACTGGGAATTTAATAGTTTTAGTTTGAAAACTCCAAAAGCATCCATGCACTCAGAAGAGCTAACAAGGTAGATGATGTCGATGGAAGGATCATAGCCGTGTCTATGGACAAATCCTCAATATCAAGTACAAGAAATACTGCACTGAAAATTTCAACTTGTTGAAATTGAAAGCAACATCTGAGAGATCAGCAATACTGAAAAGTGATTGAGATTGAATATCTGCAATTGCAAAAATCAGGACATGTCCATTAGTAGATATGGAGATATGCCAATATCAGTCACTAAATTGACTTGAGGAGCCAGTAAAAATGCAGGGGGGATGATTTATCTGGTGTAATTAAACTGAACAATCCAAGAAGCATAAACCTGCAACTTGCTATATTCATAGCACTGTATTTTATGTTCTCGGGAAAAAAGATGAAGAAACTAGTGTTACGAATTGTAATTACTTAAGCAATGAAATTTACTCTAGTTTAAGGGTTTTTTTTTGATAACTGCTATCATTATTCAGTATTATTGGAATGCATCTAATCATTAGAAGAAAAAGGTATTAGGCATCACTGAAAACTTAGACAGAAATTTGCTTACACTCTTATCCTATGTTTTCAGAACCGGACCGGATAGCGACTCGGCCAAGGTCAGGGGTCAGGGGTCAATGGGTTCGACCGGGGGTCGATAGGGGTCGAACCGGATGACGTCATAAATAAAAATTATTTAAAAATTAAAATATTATATATATCATATCTAATAATATATTGATATTAATAAAGGTATATTCATACATATTTGATGTTTCAAATATATTTAACAAGAAAATACAAAGAAATTAGAACAATCAAGTAGCAATTTATATTATTTAATAAATATTAACAAGTTTAGAATTAAAATTATGAATTTAATTGAAAAATAACATCAAATTGTAGGACAATATTTATAAAGTATCAAATATTTGAGGTATACGAATAAGTTTTAACAATTTAGGGGGCCAAAACATAATATTATAAAGTTTGAATTTTTTTTTTTAAAAATTACTGTTGAACCGGAAAAACCGGGGTTTTCCCGGTCAAACCCGGTCAAACCCGGTCAAACCCGGATTTTGACCGGCTTTGACCGAGTTTTAAAATTTCCGGTTTTCTAAGTTGACTCGGACCGGCTACCTGGCCGGTTCCCGGTTCGACCGGTTCGACCGGCCGGTCCGGTCCGAGTTTGAAAACAGAGCTCTTATCTACTAAGACTCGCTGTACTATGACAGGGGGTACAAATAGATAGATATATATATAGGTACGAGAGAAAGAAGAAATCATTTGCATATTCTAAAAAACTATCAATGATTATGCTGATATGAAGGAGAAGAAAGGTATGACACCAAAAGGTGTGATCATTTTTCAGTGACCCCCAAAATGACAAGAAAAATATAAACTTAAAGACATAGAAAAGAAATTATGTTTTAATTTTTACCAAAATATGCTTCTCCAGCTTTAGTTGCATCATACAGAAGACTCATTGCTGCAGAAGACTTGTCCAGCTGTGATCTGCAGTTGAAAGAATTAACAAATCAATAATGCAAAACCTCGATAGCATAAACATGTTCATCATGACTAGCAACATCCCATTTGGAGAATTTCACATCGAGAACTGATGAAGAAGTTCTGATACTAACAAACCAAAATTAGATGCATTCATATCCAAAAGGAAAAAGATCGAAAAGTTGAAAAAATAGAACAAAAGAAAATATGGAAAACAAATTGGAGACGGCAAAAAGGAGAAATTTTTTTTGTGGAAACCCAACAAAAGAATTACGAGTGATTTGAAGGTTGAGAATCTTACAAGGTAAATACTGAACAGTCATCTGACCAACAAAGATATGAGGTATATGGTTAATCTTAGACCACTCAGAGTCAGGGCCGCTTTGAGGAGTACATAGTTCCTCCAACAAGGGACAGTGTTTGATGCACAAATCACTTAACTTAGTGAGGCATCTCATAGCAGCCATGGAGGGTAAAGTTCGAAGTTTAGCACAATTCACTACTTCTAGTTCTTCAAGATGAACAAGGTTCCCCAACCATTCTGGTAAAGCTTCTATTCCAAAACCAAATAGATGTAATTCTATCAGGGCAAACAGATTTTGAAGTTGATTTGGCAGGGACTCAGAGTGAGGCCACCCCTGTAATGTCAGTTTTCGGACAGGAAAAAAAGAACATAAAGCTAACCAGTCATATCCATAGTTCTCCATTGAAGTATCTGAGAAGGGACCAATCCATAATTCCCTTAAGCTGGTAAGACCACCAAATCCTTGGGGCATAGTGGTTAACTTGGGACAGTTACCTAGCCATAGCACTGAAAGAGAAGGCATCTGTTGCAAATCAACTGGAAACCAGACAAGATTGTGGCATTCGTACAGTCTGAGTTCCCGGAGAGATGTATTGAGCTCTACCATTTCACTTGGAAGACCTCTCAAGCCATTGCATTGACCAATTGTCAAACTTCGAAGAGATGTGAGATGTTGCTGGTCATTGGGAGCTATAAGATCGATAGCGTTGAGATTAGGACACCTTACTACTGACAAGTGTTCCAAAGAAAGCAACTTATGCAAGTCACCTAGATGCAGTAAATGAGGACAGCTCTCTAATGACAGGTATTTTAAATTTTGGCTGTTGTGAACTGCTAACACATCAGAAACGCTTGTGAGTCCTGCCTGGCCTCCTATTCTGAGTGTTGAGAGAGTGGTTGCTTTGCTCAAAATATCTTTTAACACCAAAGCATGGCTTTTATTTGGTGTTTTCAACTGATAATACAAACCATCACGATAATTTTCAATTACCAATTGTCTAAGGCTTGGGAAATAATTTGGAGCTCTGTTTAGTTTATAGCAATTCTGTATCTTCAATGTCTCCAGCATGGGGAACACATCTAATACTTCACCTTCTGTTGCTTCTGCCTCCATCCACTCAACGAGATTGTTCATATTGTATAGGTAGAGACATTTAAGATGTGGAAACACCTTTCTAGACAATTGACTAGAACTACGAGAGCTTCTGGATCCACTTGGATTGCATAAGCCATAGAATGAATGCCCAATGACTGTTACCTTTTCCAGTCCAATCATGGCCAGAGACTGGAGAAATGGCAGTTGTCCAAGTGCAGGAAGCTCTGTGCATCTTCTGCAGTTTATTAGCCGTAGACATACCAATTTGTCGAGACTTGTTGACAGATTCATCAACCACAGTGGAAATTGATTACTCGTGAAATTTTCAACTTCTAATTCTTGCAGATTGGGATGAGGTTGGAGGCCCTCCAACACATTTATATCAGCACCGTCATCTTCCCCTCTACAGCCCCATTCAAGTGATAGTGAAGATAAATTCTGCTTTTCGAACAATTTTGCCCGTTCAGCTGCTTCTTTGCCTTCTACCAGTTCAAGATTGCGGATCCTCAGGTAACCTTTCAGGTGTCTTAAGCATCCAAGCTCTTCAATTTGACGTCCTTTCTCTTCACCAACATTGAAGAAGTCCAGCGTTTGAAGACAAGTTAATCTCCCCATCTCTAGCGGCATCTGCACTTTTCTATCATTATTGTAATAGCATAGATGTCTCAAGCTAATCAACTTGCTCATCTGCTCTGGAAGGTCCATTGGAAAAATGCAATTGAACTTCAGAGTTTGCAAATTATAAAGCTTGCAAAGAGATTCTGGCAAAGTTTTTGTTAGAGTGTATGGAAACTCAAGATAGCGCAGATAGATTAGTTTACCAATTGATGTTGGCAACTCCACAATATTTGCTGAAGACAAATCTAGGACGCGCAAGTTCTTCAACTTTGGTGCTAGGTCCTCCGGTATACTACTCCTTGGAAATAATGAGCGAAGTGAACTAGATACGACTTTAGAGTTTCTTGGTGTAATTTCTCCAGACGAGTTTAAAACAATGCTTTCACATCTCGAAATAGATTGTGCGAGGTCATGCACAAGATCATGCATTCTACCAAATGTTTGCTTATCACTGCTAATTTCTTCTTGTAACAAGGAACTCTCCACCAAAACTCTGAAATACTTATCACCTATTTCCTCCATTACTTCATTTTCAAGGTTTGATTGAAGAAATCCCTCTGCCATCCAAAGTTGGATTAACTTCCTCCTTTCTATCTTGAAATCCTTGCAAAACATCGAGCAGTATGCAAAGCATTTTTTGATGGATGGAGATGGCAAATGATCAAAGCTCAGCTTGAGTATTTGCATGACACTACTATCATCTCCAGTAAACTTCAAAAGCCCATTGTTCACAATTGAGAGCCACTCCTCTTTCCTTCTCATACGCAACAAACCTCCAATAACAATTGCAGCAAGTGGCAGACCTTGACACCATTTTGTGATTTCCTTTTCTTGTCCTTGTAATTCTTCTGTTACTTCCCCACTTCCTATCATTTTGTCTTTTATTATAGTCCAGCAATCATCATCAGATAGCTTCCCTAATGAATAGGGAGGATATGTAGCCACAACGGTTGCCACTTGTAGCTGACGAGTAGTCACAAGACACCAGTTTCCTCTGGTCGTGCTTATTCCAGTCAAAGAACGATAAAAATCCGTCCAGAGTAAAGGAATTTCATTCCAAAGATCATCCAATACAAGAAGATATCGTTTGCCCTCGATTTCTTTTCGAATCTCTTGAACAATAACATCTCTACTAGCTACATCAACTTTGCGTCTTGTCAACGATTCCAAGATTAGTCTGAATATCCTAGTGACCTCAAAATCTTCAGATACACAAACCCAAATCTTTAAATCGAAATGCCTCTCTATTTGCTGGTCGTTGAAAATTGATTGAGCCAGAGTTGTTTTTCCCAAACCACCCATTCCAGTTATGGGCAAAACATAAATAACATTGCTGGTCTCACTCGAAATCTTCTGTACTATTTTGAACTTATCATGCTCTCTACCCACAATATTAGGAAAAACAACGGAGTCAGTCTCTCGATTGACCATCACAGTTCTACTAATGTCGGGAAGCAGAGTAGCTTTTGTACCACTACCCCCCAATTGGGACTTGAGTCCAAAGCTATTCGCTTCTTCATTAATAATGTTCAACTTCTTGTTCAAATCCCTTATCTTTTGACCCATTTTCCAACGAAAACCAATTGAGTTAGAATGGAAAAGAGAGCGTACCTTTCCCTTCAGTTGGTTACCATTTCTCTTTCCGGTCTCTACCTGTTGTCTTAGAACATCATAGTTGAGCTCATCCAACACGTTATCAGCTTCATAAGCCAGTCCTTCAAGTCTCTTCAGCCAAAGCTGCACTGCCTGCTGCTTCGGCTGCTCTTCCTCAGCATCAGCCAAGACAGCTAGGATCATCTCCACCGATGCTTTGAACTTCACCAGATCCTCCTTGAATCCATAAACCATGCCAATCTGGTCACTAGCAATGCCAACTGCCTTCTCTAACGTAATCCTTATGGTAGCACCAACAAGAGCATCAGCCATTCTTGATTTCTCGATCACACTACAATTTTCTTTTTGTGTTTTTGGGAAAAGGGTTCGTGAGTTATGTTCTTGAAGAGATGTCAATGGGGGGCTAGAATCGCTGCCTTAAGGTTAAGGTTCAATTTTGTATGCCTGTTGACGCGGAATGCATTATAGTGTAAATTAAACAAAGACTTTGCCAGTCATGTAAGTGTGAAAGCATTTTTTTTTTATGGGTATTGAAACTTGAAAGAAACTGCATTAAGAAGAAAATTAATATAATCAAGGGATTATTTTTAATACACTGTTAGAGTAAATAAATTTTTTTTTTTACACACAAGCAGATTTAAATGAATGTTGCATTATCATTGTTCAAATTTTAAATTTACTTTTTGTCTATGTGTCATATATCTATATCTGTTAATGTAAAAAAAATTTTACATTAACAGTGTGTATAACATTAATCCAAATAATCAACATTTCGTATACTATTTATGCATTTCTTGATTCTACGTGTTTTGCTACAACTTCTTCTTCTTTCACCTCTTTTGGTGAGAAATGTTTCTGCCATATTTTGGTTCTCTTTTGTTAATCAAAGGATAATAATTGACGAGAAAGTATTGACTTTAAATAGATTATGAATCTCTTTCTATAGGACAATTGTTGATGATTTATGTACATACATTACACTTAAAAAGTTCTATTAACATGTTTCCTTTAGTTCATTAGTAATTTTTTAAGTAACTTGCTCACTCTCAATTGCCAAAGTTGATTTATAATACCTTGTAATTTTCCTAATCTTTTTTAAAGACAATTAAGACAAATTGATAGATTCTGCGTTTACCTGAAAAATAAAAAGGAAAAGAAAGTACGGAGAGCTAAAATGCACCCAGGATCTGACTTCTGAGATCCCCTCCTTTTTTCCCTTCTTTTTTTTTGGGGTGTAAATTCAAGCTGCTCTCTTTTTAAGTGCTGGTGTCAACATGTAGGTGAAATTCATGATAAACTAATCAACAGATTAGTTAGCAGGACAAAAAAAGAAATAGTTTTGGATGGAGACAACAGATGGTTTCACATTTTGACTTAATTTATGGATGGGAAGAATTAACAATTTTTTTGTGAAATATTTGTGGAATCAGACTCTGTTGTGATATTCTGGCATTATTATGATTTCAAGGCAACCTAAGTTTGGTGAACAAGCAGCCAAAGATGTCCTCCTGATTAAACAATCAAAGAATATTATTGTTGTTCATGAACTGTTATAATTATTATTTTGGGGTCAAATCGTTCATGGTCTATTTTAGTCATTGCAATTCTTGGTTTTCCATACTGTGTATAAGCTACTTTGTATACCAATTTTAATCCCCGGAATTCAAAATTTAGAGGTCAGATGACAGCAGATCAATGGTCTCTTATCAAAAGTTACGAAAATAAAAATATGGATAATGTTACTATGACTTTCAAAGATTATTTATTGTATATTAATTCGCAACGGATCTTCTGTCCCATACCCTGTGCCACTCTCTGTCCCACTTTTTATTATATTACTATTTCTCCTTCACAAACATCATGTTTTAATTCTTTTTTATTTCTTTATGATCCAATAACTATTAATTGAGTAAAAAATAAATACAACAGTTTCAACAAACTAATATATAATAGAAAATTAAAAAATACAGCAGAAAATTCATAAAAAATCTCATTTTTTATGCATTTTGATTTTTTAAGTTTGTTAAATTTTGTGTATTACTCAATTAATAGTTATTGCATCTTAAGAAAATAAAAAAGAATTAAAACATGATGTTTGTGAAGGAAAAATAGCAATATAATAAAAAATGAGACAGAGAGTGGCACAGGATGTGGGACAGGAGATCCGTTGCGATATTAATGCCAAATTTAACTCTTATCAACAAGACATTAAATTAATCAAAACTTTAAAAATTAATCACTTTTATACGCATGTACCTATATAAAATATGATGTATGGTATTGCTATTTTGTGTATAACTCGAAAATTTTGTTATTATCCTTTTTCCAAAAATAGTAATATAATTCATGAAGTACGATTAGTCAAAAGTTTATTACATGCCTTGTACAATTGAAAGTATGAGTAATTTTTGAATTATTTTGAAGTGTACGAAAAACATAAGTATGTTCTAATTATATGTAGGACGTTTAGTGCTACTATTATTTTCCTCCTTAACGTTACTTTTTAATCACTTTACCCTCAAGACTAACGGTCAAACTTAAACGATTTTGTTAATTCAAGTGAAGAGATATGTTTAGTCTGTAAAATTATTATCACTTTAACCAATAAACTATAGTTATTAATTTACCCCCTAGAGTTATTTTCTAGGCAATTTACCTCCTAAAGTAATATGATAATATTAGATTCTTCATTAATTTCTTTCTTTGCAAAATCTAATTTTCTGTCATTTTCTGACCCTTACCCCCCCAGCATATCAGTGGCTATCTGTTGAGATAGGGTCGAGTCAATGATATCCATTTCGCCCCGTTTATCATTTAATTTTAAAAAATAATTTCTACTAATTTAATTTTGTATTTTACATATTTATCTAAGATTTAATAATTTTTTTCAAAAAAAAATCTCCCTCCAAGAAACAAACATCCAAAGAGAATATAAGAAAAAGGTAAAAAAATTAAAAGGATTCAAAATCAATGAAAATTTGAAATAAATACTACATTTTTTAAATATATATTCCACATTAATTAAACTCTTTTCTCAAAAACATAAGATCATGACCTCTATAAATGAATATTGTAAACAAATTATAGTCTCCCAATTTGTAATGCAATTTGTTCAATGAAATTGCTTATTTAGTTCTAAAAATATTATTTTGCAGTATGTGTATAAACATAAAAAAAAATATATCCGGCGGGTTGTGTACATGCGGGTTTTTAATTATGTGATTCTAACCTACTCCACATCTAAATGGATACCCAACCCTCTTTTGAGCCGGTCAAGTAATATGGACCAAATATCCTAATTTTCGAATCAAATCGGATCGGACATGGTGGATTTTTGGATTAGCGGATATTTTTGCTCACCCCTAATGTCGATGCCCAAAAAAAGAAAAAAAAAGAAGTTACTTGAAGATTCTACTTTTCCAATCTAGGGCAATCCTGAATTCTCAAATCTTTAATATTTGGGAATCTATATCCAAATTTGACAAAAACTTGCCTGGTATACTAACACAAGTCAGCCATAGAAACTTGAGGTCTTGGCATGGATACAGTCTAAGCATGGTCCAACATCTAGCGATTTTTTACCACAAGCAAAGAATTCCAGGCAAGCTGCTTCGACTACAAGCTATCGATCCATCTCGAGTAGACAAGTGAGCCATTAATCTTCTCAAGGTTTTGAAGCTTAGTCACAATCTTTATCTTTCAAGCCAAAACAGTAGTCATGTTCCAAGATTTCAATCAATTGACAACTCGAAATGATATCCTGGGACAGTACCTGATCTAAGCATATCCCAGAAGACACACAGTTGTTTGAGACACTAGTAGTAGTACATTATTTTCTTAGTGGATTCTAGTTTTAAGCAGCATTAGCTAATATGTAAATCTACGAGAGAATTTGCTCCAAGAACTATCTGAGGCAAATTATAAGAATGGATATGGATTTGGATTTTGCTGCACCACTTTCTACAGCATTTTTCATCCGTCTTTCAGCAATGGAAGCCAAAACTACATTAGCAGATGAAAATTCCTGCTCAACTCAAGCTTAAAAGTTTCTACCTTTCCTATTTTCTGCTTCTTGTACACCAGCAAGGTGCGGTCCGTGTATTTAAAGAACTTCATGCATCTCTCTTTCTTTGTTACAGGATCCTACTGGTGATATCATTTTGTTTTCAATTCCTTAAAAAAGAACAAGCTATTATTGAGTTCCAAAGTCGGGTGTGCACATTGCTCAACCATGCCTGAGAAAAGATGTTGGTTTTGGCTGCATCTTTGGTAGTGAGAAGACAGGCTATATGTCGTATAATGTCTTCCAGCAATTCTATAATGGCCTCAGAGGTATCTGCCATTGATAGATGGATAGTTAAAAAATCTAAAACTGCAGTAAACAGCCCAGAGGTAGAAAACAATCTGGACATCTTCTTGGCTAGGACACTATAGGGTTTTTAAGCATTACAAATTAGTTCAATAATTACAATTTCCTAGAAATCTGGCCTACAGAGTCCTGGATGAAGATTCCCTTTGGATTAGTGAATTTGCTGCAACTAAAATTTCAATGTTTGTGGCACAAATCCAAATAGGACTCCTCAGCTAGTGAACAAGAAGAAAAAGAGGGTAACTAGAGTTACATCTGTACATTTAAAAGATCAGAGATAATAATTTCGATGTGAAACCAATTTTACTTTTTGAAGAAAAGCCAATTCAGGGTATTGTATTGTTTCTGGTATGTTACATGTATTGTGGATGGGGACTTTGCACTTCTCAATGTTTGTTTCCTATGCTCAAATGCAGAATTGACCATTCAACTGCTGTTTTAAGTCTAAACTTTCCAGGAGCTAAATCTGGTTTATTATAGTCCAAAACAACAATGGGCAGTACCCAGCGCATGCAATATGCTATGTAAATCCAAAAGAAGTCGAATTTGTAAAGTATTTGCCAAGGTCAAAGCTCATTGCGACCAGTTCTTCACGATGTTTAAACAGAGCGATCTGAGTTTTGGCTATCAAAAGATTCAGTCTAGAACAGCAAACAAACAAGCTAACAGTTGATTTCGGAAAGATAACAATCATTTCATTAATGCAATTGTTCATCATACTTTAATTGATTGAAGGGGAACGAAAGAAAGTTGCACTTGCAGTATGAAAATTCAAGGACTAAAAAATGCTTATAGTCTCCATGAAAGTTTTAGACAATTATCTGCAGCAAACAAATTGTGATATAATGTTGAGAGTGGCTCAAGAAAACTTTCCAGCCACCAGTAACCCCTTGTGGTCTCCTTCTATATGTGGGAGGCAAAGCAAATTATACTGGATAGCTAGGAAGGGTAGTAGATAAACATTCAAAAACGCATGTGAGTTTTTCAAAACTATCCTTAAACATCATTTACAAGAATCAAGTTATAAGAGAAATTAATAGCTTGGGACCCAATAGGATAGAACTCAGGAAATCCACATTTCTGGAATGAATAGCTGCTAAGACTTGAAGTATGAAATCTGTAGTGTTGGGGCTGCTCCAAGAGGTGCATCTTTCCAGCGCATCTACTTTAAAAGACAAATAATTCATGAACAGAAAAGCACAAGAACGAGAAGAAATGACAAGCTAGGAACTTGCATGCAGCGATCTGCTGGTTGGAAATCGAGCAACATCTGCTGTTTTCATTAATCTTTCTGAGAAGGAAATTAAGAAAAACACGGTAAGAGTCAAAAGAATCCCACACTTTGTATCAAGCTCAAAAAGTACTTATAGCAGGAAAGCAGAAATGGTAGACATTGGTTAAAATGAAGAGAAGAGACATTGAGCAGGAGTACAACTCAAGTTTGAGCACTTTATTATACTTCGACAGACAATACAATTGCAAATATTATTATTGAATACAGTATATGACCAACACGCTGAGAGTATTTTTATCCGCACAATACACTCACTAGACAAAGTACGAGTCTTAACACTTGTATGTCACTTTGCAGTACTCACTCAATTAACCAGAGCTTGCTGTTTTGCTCTGCTTGGTTCGTACAAATGAAATATAGTCCTATTCAAAAGACAATGAAATAGAAGCAATTGTGGCTGCTGAAGATGTATTCCTTTTAACCAAAAATGGGAGCAGTGGTATACTGCAACCCCTTTGGAATAGTTGACATGACATTTTCCAAGTTGTCATGGCAATGCTTACAGTTGAAATTTGTCTGGCCAATTAAGAAAGTTGTCAGTGCCAATATTCAAACAGACAAATACTTATGCACAACAAATGGAAAGGGAAAAGAAAAAGAGAGAGAATGTTAAAGGAGAAGAGAAGAGACAACCATTTTTTTGGGGAATAAAAAGCAAAGATATACCCAAATTAGCAATTATGGGAATGATAAGAAAATGCATCAGATAGTGGAATCTTACCAGACAGAATGAAATTTCAGTAAGCCCCAATAGGTTCGTCCTCAAAGTGCCCATGGGAAATATGAGAAACCTTGGGCCACTCCGATGTAGCGCCAGGAGTGAAATTTTTCTGTAGGAGAGAACAACCAAAAATTCCCAGGAATTTTAATTTGGTGAGGCGCCTCATGGCAGCAGTGGAAGGTAAATGCTGAAGCTTTTCACAACCATCTAGCCGTAGTTCCTCAAGTGATGCAAGATTCCCCAACCAGTCTGGTAAAACTTCCGCTCCAAAACCATGTAGACCTAGTGCTGTCAGGCTAGTAAGGTATTGAAGCTGTACCGGCAGGGAGGCTGATTGAGGTTGACCAACCAATGATAGTTTCTGAACAGAAGAGGAAGCCAATGCTGATAACCATTCATTCTCCGTGTGGGAATCAAAGAAGGGACCAACATGCAACATACTCAAGCTGGAAACCTGATCTAGTCCTTTAGGAATAGTGGTCAGCTTTGGACACCCGAACAATGCTAATGAAACAAGAGATGGCATTTGCCGCAAATCAATTGGAAAGGAGACAAGGTTGGGGCACTTACACACCATCAGAGACAAGAGAGATGAACGAGCCTCCAGCATTTCAGCTGGAAGACTAGTTAACCCGTTGCAATAACCGATTCTCAAATCTTTGAGGGAGGTCAGGCCTTTATGTCCACTAGGAATTGGAATTGTCTCCAAATTATGGCAACCCATAACAACCAAAGAATCCAAATTTTGTAATTGATGGAGATCTTCTGGCAATTTTCTTATATTCTCACATTCAAGGATGCTCAAAGCTCTAAGTGAAGTTCCACAGCCATGTATGTCAACTAATTCGGGGCATTTTTCTAGTATCAGTGACTGAAGGTTCAAGCCATTCAAAACATCTTGAACATGAGTGAGATCTGCCATCCCTTTGATCCAGACAGCTGAGAGGTTGGTTGCATTGCTGCAAATCTTTTTCACTGGCTGAAGCTTGTCAATCTTCTGAATTTTCAAACTCTTCAGACTTGGAAAATTGCTTGGAGCGTTGACCAGGCGGTAGCACTTATTAATTGTCAAATCCTCAAGAATGGGAAACACTTTAACATCTTCATTACTCTCTCTTCTTGACTCAGCTTGTGCATCCATCCATTCTCTCAGATTTGGCATCTCTGATAGTACGAGACTTTTAAGAGCTGGAAACAATGTGTTTGACACTTCACTGCTGCTGTTGTTTCTTGATGCACGGCGATCGTCCATGTCATAGAAGGAACGTCCAAGGCATGTTAACTTATCTAGGCCATCCAACGCGAGAAATTCAAGAGAAGGCAACCTTCCAAGGGCAGGGGCGTCTTCGCACATTTTGCAGTCTACTAATACCAGCTTTACCAATCTGTCAAGTCTTCTTAAGGAGCCATACATATTGTACTTTGCTATGCTCATATTCATCAACCAGCGTGGAAATTGGCTCCCCATATAATTTTTCACATATAAAGATTGCAAATTTGGGTGAGGCAGGAGGCCTTCCAACACATCTTCATCATTGTATTCTCCTTCTCGACCGCTACCCCACTCAAATACCAAATCATTCAAATTTGACTTACTCAACAAATCTGCCTGCTCTGCTTCTCTTTTAGCATTTACAAATTCGAGGTTGCGTATTAGAATTTGGCCTCTGAGGTTTTTTAAGCATCCTACCTCCTCAATTTTGCAACCTTCCTCCTTGCCTATGTTGAAGAATTGTAATGTTTTAAGACAAGTTAATTGTCCCATCCCTTTTGGCATTCTAAATTTGCTGTCAGGAGTAAAAAAAAGGAGATGTCTCAAGTTGATCAAGTTTCTCATCCCATCAGGAAGCTCCTTAAAGGTTGCAGGGTTCAAGTAGGTGCTTAATACCAGTGTCTGCAAATTATATAACTTGCAAATGGACTCTGGCAAAGCTTTGAACCTTGAGAGTGATAGGTCAAGAAATCGTAAATGGATTAGCTTGCTAATTGAGGTTGGCAGCTCCTCACTAGTCACAAGAGGCAAACGGAGAACACGCAAGTACTTTAATTTCAAGAATACCTCTCCAGACTCTACAGTCCCGTTCACAATTAAAGTTCGGAGTGAACTTGACCTGCTTTTCAAGTTTCCTTGCGTTTCTTCATCAAATGAAGGCAGCAATAGGTAGCGGCAGTTCTCATCAGTGATGCTGTTAGATCTCAATACTGATTGTGCTAGATCATGCACAATATCATGCATTGTACAGTATCTATCGTCTATATGAGAAAAGGGGTCATACTTTTCTACCTCCTCAAGCAAGGAGCTTTGCAATAAAATGTTGAAATGCTCGTTGCCTATGTCCTCCAATACCTCATTCTCGAATCTTGGTTGCAGAAAACCTTCTGCCATCCAGAGCGAGGTTAGATTCAGCTTACTCATGACAAAACCTTTGCCGAAGATTGAGAAGTATGCAAAACACTTTTTAATGGATGCACTTGGCAAATGGTCAAAGCTCAACTTAAGAAGTTGCATCACACTATTTTCTTCCCCACCCAACAAACGTGCAAACCCACTCTCCGAAATAGCTGGCCACTCTTCTTTCCTCTTGATACGTAACAAACCTCCAATTACAGTCGCAGCAAGAGGTAGACCTTGACATCTTTTTATTATTCTACTCTTAAGTGCTTCCAATTCTTTTGGTACTTCTCCACTTGGAAACACTTTCTCTTTCACAATCGACCAACAATCATCATCTCCTAATTTACTCAATGAATATGGAGGATGTGTAGCCACACGCGTGGCCACTTCTATATTACGAGTTGTTACAAGAATCCAATTTCCATTTGTAGTGCTAATTCCAACCAAAGAATGAATGAAATCCTCCCACAGCTCAGATCTCTCATTCCATACATCATCAAGTACCAGAAAATATCTTTTTCCTTCAATTTCTCTTCGAACTTCTTGAACTATAGACTCCCTGCTTTCCACATCGACTTTTCTCTTTGTTAATGATTCTAGGATCAGTTTGAAAAGCCTCGTAACTTCAAAATTACGAGACACACAAACCCAGATCTTTTTATCGAACTGCCTATCGATTTCTGGGACATTATAGACTAACTGAGCCAAAGTTGTTTTGCCCAACCCCCCCAGGCCTGTTATGGGAATAACAGAAACAACTATTGCAGACGAGCTCAACAATGTTCCAACTATGTTGGATGCATCAGTGTCTCTTCCAACTACATTTTGACGAGCTATGGAGTCAGTCTCCCGACTCATAGCAGGGAGGGGAGATACATATGCACCACCTCCCATTTGGGACCTACTAAGCCCAAAACCAGCAGCTTCTTGATTGATCGATTTCAACTTCATGTTGAGATTCTTGACCTTAGAAGCCATTCTCCAACGAAAAGCAAAAGTACAGGAGGTGGAGAAGAAAAGGCATACCTTTTGCTTGAGACGATTTTGAGCCTCCATCCTACGACGAAGAAATTCATAGTTGATCTCATCCAACAGATTATCAGCATGAAAAGCCACTCCTTCAAGCCTCTTCAACCATAGTTGCACGCCCTGGTTCTGCACTTGCTTCTTCTCAGCATCAGCCATGACTGCTTGGATCATGGCAACAGATCCTTTTAGCTTCTCCAACTCCTCCTTGAATCCTCCAAAAGCCTCACCAATCACATCAGTGGTGGCGGAAACTAACTTTTCCAAGACAATCTGTATGCTAGCAGCAACCAGTGCGTCAGCCATTGTCCTCTCTTTGGTATGTGGTAGAGTGGAAGGAAGGAGTTTTTTTTTCCTTTTTTTGGTAGCTAAAAATTTATTGCCAGAGGAAATATTGGCGTAGGTAGCATAGGTTTGATCACCTCAAAAATATAACACTAAGCAGAGGCCAGATTGATTCTTTGCTTGATCAAACTTCCAAAGCATCTTCATGACAAAGTGTTTAAATTAGTATCACTTTGAATTCTTAAAACACAAAAAGACTAGAATTGGGTGCTTTTCTTTGTTCTTTGCCTCAACATAGGGGCTTTGGTTTGGGGAAGAAAGATCATAAAAAGATTAAATGGAAAAGTATGCATCAAGGGTGGTCTAAACCTTATTCTCTTCTTCGTTAAAGAAAAACTAATTAAACTGTATAAAAATAAGAAAATGAAGAGTTTGACAATGGTCAAGAATAAGGTTCAAAACTTGGTGCATGTTTATGTATATCATCAAAATTCAGCTATAGTTATGAAATTTCTGTAAAGCATTAATAAACATCTGCAGAAGATTAGCTAATATGCTCATGGTCATATCGAAGCAAGGCATTTCTTTCAAGTTTAACAAAATCAAGCACTTGAAGGGTCACGAAAAAGAGATAGGTCACCTGAGATTACGATTTACCTTAATGATGAAGACCTCCATTGTCTTTGCTGAACTAACAAGTAATCTACACTTTTGCTATATCATCCCAAAGAAAAGAATCTGCTCAAAATACAGCACTTATCTCACATTCAAAGAACTCCAGAGAAACAATGAAGAAAAATTTCCAGGGTCTTTAGATATAGGAATACCTTTTATACATTGTTGGTGTAAAGATTTTTTTTTTACACAAATAGGTTTAGTTCATGCCATATGACATGAATTCAAATTACTACACTGTAAGTGCATAAAAATTTAATTCTTATAAATAGTAACTACTATTTAAATTTTTTTCCTTCGTTGTGATTTCTAAAAATGCATGAGAAACTAATCTACATAGACTACGTATAGCTCATTATGCTAGTTCTGCATTTGTGAATAGGGTACCCGCTGAATGGTGCATGGAGCTTTTGATTCCATGAATAGTTCATCAGGAAATTATCACTACCACCGGGTGCTGGCGCCTCATTTGCACGAAATAGAAAACCCTTGACTGCGTTTGAATTGAGAGATTTGACTTAAGATTTCAAATCCTCTCAAATCTCTCTAGTTATTTAGATTCTTTAGAAGGTAAATAAATTTGTAAATCATCAATTATTTTAGTGTTTAAAATGTATTAAATAATTAATGAATTACAAACCCAAATATTTTTTAAGCAACCCAAACAACTAGAGCAATTTGAGTGGATTTCGAATCATTCTGCAAATTCTTCAATCCAAATGAATCCCTAAATTTTATGGATAATCACTTGTGAAAGTTTCTTTATGGGTCTTTTAACCTTATATCAATTCAGGCCAATTGATACCTTTTACTGATGTTGAGCTAGCATTCAAATTGGGTAAGGAAACAAAAAGGAAAAGTTGGAAATTAGTGATTTGTTGTAGTGAGACTTTTTATTTTGGTGGTGGCTCACAAGTGAAACAGCAGAAGTGTCATTTTGTCACACCAATTACAAGAATCCATTATCCACTGATGTTCAATTGGTTTGAGTTGTATACACAGTAATTTTAGTGAAATGTAGCAACTGATAATTGTTAGGGTGTAAAATTGAAAATAAGTAATAGTTCAAGAGAACAAGTTGTAATTGACGCTGGAAAAACTAATGCTAATAAAAAAAACACAAGTGATTGACTTCTGCTTGAGTCCTGAATTTAAAAGTGGACCAAAAGAAAATTATTTTGAATAAGCACTAAAATGGAAACAAAGAACATTCAAATCCTAGGAACTCTATTCGAGATTCTACAAAACAGAAGCACAATTTCGAAACAAAGAGCACATTTACTTCAACAGCAACAGCCTTGCATACACCGCAAATCAGTTTCATTAAAAAATACATTGTCCAACATGTAGGCAGAGTATGATATTTTTTTCTTCTTTTTTGGCAGAGTATGACTTTCACAATCATAATAATATACTCCTCCGTCCCAAAAGATTGTTACTTTTTGGGAGGAGTGCTTTTTATCAATAGTGAAGATAATTTGGTCAATTTTGCATTACTTTTTTATTTTGTTCTTATGAAGCGTACTCACTAGCGGAGAGATGTCTTGGAAGAAGTCAACACACAACACGTGTGGGGTCCGTTTGTTTGATTTGTCTCAAGAACATACATGTCACTCAAGTCAGTCAACCATATATGTAGATGAGTATCCTCAAAATTGGATGGTGTATCTCACACAGTAACTATTGAGTGTTTTAATCTTTCATTCACTGACTGTGAGTTAAATAACCACCAGCAGCTTGGGTTGGGCTGGCCGCGACCACCAAAGACTTTTAGTTTTGGTGACCGTGACCTCCCATCATTTGTCACAGTACGTAGTTTCCTCAAATTCATATATGTTTAGGCTCACATCATCTGTTTGGTCAGATGGTGATTCAAATATCATGATCTTTTCTATAGACTCAGTTAGACCTTCCCTGAATTAAGTTAGAATAGCAGCTTGGGCTGGCCGCAACCACCAAAGCCTTTAGTTTTGGTGGCCGCAACCTCCCATCATTTGTCACAGTAGGTCGTTTCCTCAAATTCATATATGT